TTTCTGAACTCCAAGGGGTGAGTCAGAAAGGCCTGGCCAACTACTTCCGAAAATCAGCCTGTACAAACTCCACAGAGCCCGCGGTCCAACCCCACTGTGCATGGGGATCCGGCAGGCCAGGGCGGACTCCATGCGGGTCCTGCCTGACGCTGTGCTGCGGGCCGGGCTGCGCGCTGCACTAAGAGCTGAAAGGCGCAACGACCCAGGGTCATGACCATGCCACTTCACTTGACAGAAGAGGACAATGGGCCCACACTGGATGGCCCCTTTCCCCAGGGGCAGCACCTGGCCAGGCTGGAACTGAAATTTGATCCCAGTTGTCTCGTTGATGCTGGGGGAAGGGGGAGGTGAGTGGGGGTGCTGGTGGTCCCTCAGTATCTCACAGCCAAGGGTCTATGAAGTGCCCCCACCTCACCTGTGGTGCACCCCTGCTGAGTGGGCCCTGCCCCCACCCTGAGGGCGAATGCCACTCACCATGTCCAGCTGGGGGTGGGGCAGGAGGGCAGAGAGGAGGGAGGCAACTGAAGGCCACGCTGGCAAGCGTAGTCCGGGCCAGGGGGGTTCAGGGTCTCGGCCACGATGTCCCTGCTGTGGCTGAGCTGGCCAAAGGGTAGACATTTGATTCCAGGAATTTCCTCAGCATCCCACACTGGTCGCTCCTGAGGACTGTGGGTGGGGGACTGCGCGGCTTGTCCCCTGTGCCCACCCCAGGCCTCCCACTTGGGGAGCACTCGATTGGGAAACATCCTGTCCAGGAGGACACACTGTAAAGCACTGAGCTGGCCTTTTATGGCCTTCTCAAGGGCAGTGGGGAGAGGTGACCTTTGGATCGGCGGGTGGCATGTGGGCAACACTCGAGTTTCAAAGAGCAACCCAGGCTAGGCGGGTAGGAGGCAGGACTTCCTGTGCTTGTGGGAGGATCACACAGGGCCAACAGTCCTCCCTCCCACCACGTGACAGCCCCCAGCTGCATCCAGAAACAGTGCACATCCAGCTCCCACAGGGCCCCGTGGTCTACACACATGGAGAGGTGTCCATGCGGGGCCCCA